ATCCCTGCCCCGGGGGCTGGACATTTAGCAGACCAGCAACTGGGAAGAAGCCACAACAGCGATAGCCCAGGATGGATGTCAGTGGATCAGACCCAGCGGGCACTTTGTCTTGGTGGCTTCACAGGAGGCAGGTTTAGACTGCAGCTTTTCTTCAGGGCTGTTGCTGTTTGCTTTCAAAGGGAAGATTCAGCTTGTCAGAACCAGAATCCCAGGACACAGTGGGAAGGGCCTTTTGGAATCAGACAGACAACCTGGGTTCAAAGTCAGCTCCACTTCTGACTATCTGAGTCACCTTGGACTCCTTTTCAAATCTCTGCTTTTTTGTTATTGTTTAGTCACTAAGTCATGTCCATCTCTCTGAAACCCCCTGGACTGTAACTAACCAGGCTCCTCTGTCCATGGGATCTCCCAGGCAAGAATACTAAAGTGGGTTGTCATTTCCTTCTCCAGGGGATCTTCTCGAAACAAGGATCGAACCTGCATCCCCTGCATTGTCAGGAGGATTCTTTACCAAGTGAGACACCAGGGAATTGCAAACCTCTGCTTCCTTATCTGTGATTCATCAGGATCACTGACACCCTATCTCTCTGGGTCTCAGCAGTAAACACGACTCTACTCACCTGAGTCAGCTAAAGAGAGCAGGCAGAACTCCTTAGAGAGGGTGGGTGATATTAAGGAAAGCAACATGGGGTGTTGATGCACCTAAATCTAACAACAGGGTACTGGGAGAAGCGAAGAGAAGGAATATCCTAAGAGAATGTAAGCTGTGAAGGAGACGCTACTGACAGCAGCTCATCAGGGAGAGCAGTTACTACAGTCAGGCTTCTAAGCAGGAGGAAGCAGAGAAATACCCTGACCTCACTCTGCTCTGCCCTGATCTCCTGCTGGTGCGTCCTCAGTGGGTCAGTGTGAACCAGAAGCCATCCAATAAGAAAGCCGGGAGATGAGGCTCTGGGGGTCACATCCTGGGGTCCAGAACTGGGTAGAGAGTGGACCAAGACAGCAGGGTTAGGTATAGAAAATGCAGTCTACCGTGTTACCCTCATTTAGTCTGGAGGACAAAAATAATGTATGTAAAGCACTTAGTATAGGGCTTCCCTGGTGGCCCAGTGGTCAAGAATCCACCTGCTAATGCAGGAGATGTGGGTTCGATCCCTGGGTAGGGAAGATCCCCTGGAGAAGGAAATGGTAACCCACTCCAGTATTCTTGCCTGGGAAATCCCATGGACAGAGGAGACTGTTGGGTTACAGTCCAGGGCATTGCAAAGAGTCAGACACGACTTAGGGACTAAACAACAACAAAAAGCACTTAGTACGCAGCCTGATGTTTAGTAGGATCTCAACAAGTGGAAGCAATATTCTGATTAGCCCTATTCACAATTAGACTCTTTAATGTAACATGTGTTCTGCCTTGTTTTCACACAAAAAGCCCCAGAAGCACTCCTTAGATTCCCAATGTGTGCTGGGAATCATGGAGGTTCAAGTGTTAACATGACCCCAACACTGCCCTCAAGGAGAGAAGATCCTGGACACTGATGCCCATGAGACTGGATAGGAGGTGACAAGGGTCACAGAAGTGACTCTGCTTCCCAGCTGCGAGCACCTCTAAGGCCAGGACCACAGCTTCTGGTTCTGTTATCTTTCTTAATACTTTTTAAAACTTTTCTTTTTCCAGGAAGAGTCTAATTAGAATACATGCTCATTGCAGAAACTGTGGAACTTGCAGAAAATCACAAAAAAAAGAGAATAAAAATTACTTCCCTCCCCAGAGATAATCACTTAATATTTTTGCAAATCTCCCTCCTTCTGTGCATTCAGTTTTATTAGAATTAGTCTCATGTTAGATGTTCAATGTGTATCCTGATGGCTGGTTGGGGTTTTTTCCCTACTTCTCTCATAAGCATTGAAACCATTCCAAAAATATCTTTTAATCACTTCATAAGAGTACACCACATGTTTGGGAATATGAACTTGAAATCAGTAGACTAAACTCTAATTGCAGCTTCGCTAGTTGATAGCTGCACGACAATGGACAGGTTACTCAAATTTCCTGAGCTTCAGCGTCTTCATTTGTAAAATGAAGCAAAGCGAAGTTAAAGGAGGCATCTTATAAAGTTTTAGAAAAGAGAAATGAAATAATTTTGAGAAACAATAGCTCAGTGTGTGGAACAAAACAAAGAGCTAAATGGTAATTATAATAATTTTCATTATTAGTCTGTAGTCATTTCTCTATTGGTGAATATTTAGGGTGTTTTAAATTTATTTTTAATTAAAAATTTTGTTACAAGGTGTTTGAACTTCAACCTCTTTCCACACATGAACATTTTCCTTAGGGTATATAAAGCTATTGGTCCTGGGTATAAACATTTAAAAGTTCAGGTTCTGGAGTCAGGTGGCCTAGACTTACATCACAGCTATGCTACATACTAGCTGTGTGATACTGGAAAAATCACCCTGTCTGTGCTTCAGTTTCCTCTTCTCTTAAATGAAATAATAATAGTATTACCTGTCATAAGGATTAAATGAGATAAAAATACAAAGTGCCAGGCACAGGTAAACAAATGTTAGTCAATGTATTACCATGTATACAGCCAATTACACTGTTTTATTCATTTATACCCAACAGCTTTTAGCACTGGGCTGGGTAGTAGATTTCCAATGAATACATATTAAACTGGTTGCTCTGAGTTCCTTGCATACTCTGGAAGATTCTCTGCCTCCTTGTTTGGGAATTAACTAGAGACCAATTCGCTTATGTCATCCTGTCCACATTCTACCCCACACCCCCAATGCCTTGTCTCGTATCTTTTTGTCTCAGTTGAACTTACAAGACTATTTACTTGTTACAGAGTTCCCTAGACAGACCCCAAATAGCATAAGATCTCTCCAGAGGCTTCTGGGATGATAGACCAGAGGCTCTGTCTCTACCACTGTCACTCAAGGGTTTAGGAAACTTTCCTGGGGTCCCTCAGTCCTCCTCTTACTTCTCACCCACAGCCTCACAGTCTTGAGAGCATCTAACTATTTTATCCTAGGCTGGAGTACGTGACCACCTATTATGCAGAGGACTGCAGCCAATCCACTCCAAAACCCAAACGGGAAAATGGGCTTATGCCAAAGGTTAGAGTTGTGTAAATAACCCAGAAACCCAGCAATACAGGCACACCAGAACCCTGCAGCTGATGTGTTGGCAATGTGCCACTAGCCACTGCTGCTGCCAGATCTGTGTATAGCTACCAACCTCCAGTGGAAATGTACCATTTGGGAGTAAGTAGACTGATTCATGAGGATGGTGAATTTCCACATGCTGGGTGCATGGAATGGATAATCAAGTGGTTAGTTCCATGATCTATGCTTTCCAGGAGGAATTCTATAACAAAGCTTAGAACTCCAATTTTGAATTCTCTGGGGTGATTTCCATCTTCCTAATGTTCATACACATCCTAACATTCCCAAATAAATTGTCAGTTCATGCATCCCACACACGTTTATTAAGCAACTACTATGAACAGAAAAAGCAAATAACAACAAGTAATCATATATCTCCTTTCCTTTGCCCAAGGCAGACAGCAGTCCTCCTAAGAGCCTAGACATGGTCTCACAGCCCATCTCAACATGGGCCCCAGGCGGTCCTACCAAACAAGTTGACATGCCATATTAAGCCTGTTAAAGCTAAAGTGCCACAAGTACTTAGAGAATATGGAGACAGCAAGATAAAGAAGTCCAAGCAGCCATCAGTTATTTGGAAATGAGGTGGGATAATTTTGAAAACAGCCCCACAGCTGGTTGATGTAACAGTGCAGGCTGAGCAAGGCAAATGCTCCAGGCCAAGAGCACAGACTCTGCTATGTGACCCTGAGCAGGTCACTTCACCTCTCTAGCCCTGGTTTTGTTCTTTATGAGGCTGATAGTACTTCCCTGATATTCAGTGGTAAAGCACCCGCCTGCAATGCAGGGGACAAGGGTTTGATCCCTGCTCCAGGAAGATTCCACATTCCTCAGAGCAACTAAACCCATGCACCACAACTCCTGAGCCTGTACACCTAGAGACAGTGCTCCTCAACAAGAAAAGCTAGTGAAATGAGAAGCCGTTCACTGCAACAGAGAGTGGCCCCCCACTCCCTGAAACTAGAGAAAGTCCATGTGCAGCAACAAAGATCCAGTGCAACCAAAAATAAAATGAAAAATTTTTAAATGAGGCTGATAATAGCAATACCCTCCTCATAGGGTCATTATGATGAGTAATTGAGATGATGCCATGTAAAATGTTTAATAACACCTGTCTGATAGTAAGTAATTTGTTTTTATTAGCTAAATATAGGCTATATTTAGGTAAAGAAGAATAAAATTAATTTCCCTATTCCAAACAACACAGAAGAAGGACATTCTGGACACTTGAAAAGACAGAACAATTTTAGGCCCAGGTACTAGAACTAGTTGTCTGATTTCTATCAGGAAATGTGTTGTTGAACCCCACAGAACCAGTTTCCAAGCCCCAGAAGGCAGAGATGTGGTCATCAGGGCATATTTCATAGCTGTTGCTCTGTCCCACCCTAAAACTAACACCATCAAATAGAGGCAAAAGTGAAAATAGCTGTGTGTTCTCTTGCTTTCATCTGCTGCCTAAAAGGCAATCTATCCTTTCATTTATAAATGGGGACCCTTGCTAAATACATGGAATAGTGCAACAGAATTTCATCTAGAAATTAGTGAGAATACCAACTATACTATACTTCTATTCTGGCTTTTTTTTTTTTTTTGCTGGATAATACTTATTATATTACAAACATAAGTCCTCTTAGACATTTAAGAAATTCAGAAAAGGAAAAAGAGGAAAATAGCATTCAGAATTCCACCTCCCAGAAAACAAAATCAGGGTATCTATTCATCCATGCTTTTCTCTCTGCTTTCTTAAATTTTAAAAAATACAAGATTTTTTATTTTAAAAATTTCTGCTTACATTGTCTTTCTCTCTCCCACGCCATCCCATCCCCCTCTAGTTTATCATTACCAGTTCAAGATTCGGTTCATCAACCAAACTGAGAACCCTGTAGAACCAACTTTCACCGTGTCATTCCTCGGAACAAGAGGGGAGAGGCAGAAGATCCCCATCACTCTGTGAGTAGCGATACAGCCCCATCCGTGGTGAGGACAGGCGTAGCTTTCTCACAGGGTCTGGATGCACTCTGCTTATCAAGGGTCGGGCCAGGCACAGCTTACTTTCCTCAGCCCAGGATGAGTGTCCCAAGCACCCCATCAGATGGGACATCCGCCCACGCTTGGCACCTTGTCACCCCTCCCGGCCTCCCCCAGTCCCAGCCATTGCTTTATGTCGCTGCCACCTGCGTCTGTGATGGGCCCGAAGCGACAGGGACTGAATGGAGAGGGAGGCCAGGGGTGGCCAGTCTAGGAGGAGTGCCGAGAACAGGAGCAGGACACACTCCTGTCCCCCCAGGAAGGCCCTGAGCACCTCTCCAGTGAGTTCTGAAAACCATAACCCGGAAATAAAACTGGTCTCATTTACCTTGGCACGAATTTTCCATTCAGTCAGCCTGCACTGCCAACCCTCCCCACCTGTCCTTCGCCCTGCGACACACCTGCTCACAACACAGGCAGTGGCCTCACGCCTCCTGCACAGGCTGGCCAGCTTCACCGGCCGCTTTATTTCAGCATCTCCACCCTCAGCATGGGCTCTCCTTGAGAAGTGACACCAGCCTTCACCCGCTCCAGGGACGGTTCTCAGCTTCCCGAAAATCACCCCTGGTTTTGAACCTCAATCATCCCACTGATTTCAGTCACTCGGCAAGGATGTGTCAGCGCTCTGCACTAGAGGTAGAGAGGACTCTATCCTTAGACTGCTTCCAGTCTAGTGGGGTGGGTGGATTCCTAAACGGTGCTTTGCAACATCCTGCAGGAAGAGCTAAGATGAGCTGAGCCAGGGAATCCTCCAGCCACCTGTCTCACCCTAAATCCAGTGCTAACTCTGCACCATCCCAAATCTCTCCCTGGGGGAGCAGGGATTGTTCTAAGTAGTGGAAAGGGTGCCTGACTGCTCTGTCAGTATTGGGACATTTTAATGTCTTGGAGATTAGTGAGTAAAGCTGATAATGATACCTAAGGATCTGCATTTAAATTTTGCTCCAAACTTTTATATGTGGTTTTCTATTATTGCTGTACTTGTTGTTTTAACGGAAGTTTCTATTTACATTGGGGAGGAAGAAAAGCACTGATCTGAAGAGAAGACGTAGTGTGGTTCTCATGTGTTGATCAAACCTACAGAGAGCTGTATTGCCCAGAGACACCTGCCTTTTTTGGAGGCAGTTCTCCTGATGTGCTAAGCTAGAGATTAGGAAGCCTGAGCTAAACAAAGTTAACTAGATTCATCACTGCAGAACACTTGCAACCTTTTAAGTATGCTATCACAGAAAATAAGATGGTTTTCCCAGTATTACTATTCTGGAAAACCCTTTTTTATCCTGGCACATCTATTGCTATCTCTATTAATAGTCTGTCCAACACCACTTTGGGAAATGCAGCAGAAAAGACCATCACGAGTCATTCAGGCAAATCTAACACCTCCTGAAAGCCCCTAAGCCTCACTTTGCTGCTACAAATCAACTGACTATGTCTGGTTTCCTTTGTATCTTCAAGGAGCAAAGGAATTACTAGTAATGAAACCTATTCCTTTCTTATCCCACTGGATGTGGATATTGGAGAACTGATCATGATCAAGTTCAAGTGGGAAAACAGCATGGTGTGGTCCAATGTCTGGAATACAGTCCAAACCATCATCCCCTGGGGAAGAGAGTCCCTTCACTCAGGCCTTGCTCTGAAGAGCATCAGAGTCAAAGTGGGAGAAACACAGCAAAGGTGAGTGCTATTTCAACCTCCTCCTAACATCTGTTGAGCATCTACCTACGTCAGCAATTTCACAATTTAATACTTGCATTTATCTTGTGAAGTGGGCATTGTTTATGTTCCAACGATGACATACAGATGCTCGGAAAGGTGCAATGACCATCCTGAGTTCCCAAAGCCACAGGTGGAAGGACCAAGATTTACACCCAGGTCTTCTGATTCCCATCTAGCCTCTTTCTTCTGCCCCCCAGTTACCAGCTACCTGCCTCCAGAGTCTGAGAACCACTCACTGGCCCAGTGCTTTTCAGATTTCACCAGGTGCTGGCCCAAGGACCACATTTTGAACAGCAGGGACCTAGAAGTGACATTTCTTCTTTGTTGTTTACCCAGAGAAATGCTTTTAGCAGATCACAATCTCAAAATCTCACACTGAAGCGGCACCTTTCAAATCTTAGAATGCCAAGGGATCACTGGGAAGCTTATGAAACATGCAGAATTCCCAGACCCACCTGAAGAGCTTCTGACCGGCTGTGGTCTATGGAGGACCACACATTTGGTAATAAGAGCCCTAGGAAATTCTGTTGTGGGCCAGCGGGTTACGCTCAGGAGGTGCAGTTCTGTGTGACTGAATGTCTTCCTTGGCCCAAGGGCCCTGGGACATGCAGGGGTGGGTTGAGGGCAGGGAGTTAAGGCAAGAAAGGATGTCCAGCTGCTCCCTCAGTCCTCTCAGCAGAGCGAAGGGATGCTCGGTATATTTTCCCCGGGCTGCCGTTCTTTTCTGTGGTTCTGCGCCTCTGCAGGCCTTCTCCTGTCTCCTCCCCACCGTATTCAGGAAATGTGTCTCTCCTTTCCTAGTGCCCTCTGTCGAGCAGCCCGCTTTGTCTCTGGAGTGCCGCCAGCGCGCCCCTCACCTCTGAACTGCTCTCCTCCCTCACCCCCGGGGTGTCACTGCTAGCAGCCGCCCATGGCAGATTTATGCCCCCTGAGTTCCTCACACAGCCGCACTCCGAGATTTTATCTCCCTGGGATACAAAATCCTGGCAATTACTAAAAGCATACTCTGCAGTCAGCCAACAGATTTCTCCACATGATCAATTTGAGAAAATTAAACTGCTCCTCTCCTCTTCGGCACTTAGCTATTCTTGCATGACTTGTTGGCCCTTTAGAGCAGCTCAGCTTCTGAGCACCAACCCTCCCCGGATTCTCTCAGCTAGAGAGTAAATCCTCAGTTTTAGAGGCCGCTCACCATGGCAGTTCTAGGCGCCTCGACCTGAACGATAGTATAAAACACAGAGCTACCTTCTCCCCTGGTGCTGACCCACACAGCTAGGCAGAATGAAAGGAGGGAAGAATGCGAGCAGTGCTTACAGAGCCCTTGCTGCACCACGGGCTTGAACTAGGGGCTCCACAGCATTCACCTGATGGAAGCTTCCCAGTGACCCTCTGAAACAGGTAGTATTGCTGAGCAACTTAGAAACCTGAGGCTCACGGGAGTTCCACTGCTTGGGGACACTGCTAATAATTGTCTGAGCCCAGGTCTGACTTAGTTTGTCTGAATCATTGCCCGTTCGTTGCCTCTGCAGTTTTTAACAGCTCCGCCTCCATTAGTCGTGGTCCCGTTGATCTGACTTTCTTTAATCTAGCAGTGTTGTAGAGCTGGAAATGCATATATATGCACATCACAGCTTTCCTCGGGGCTGTAAGAGGTACATCACGCAAAGGAGGGAAGGGATCTGGGACCTATATTTTTTTAAGTTTTTAACTCAGTGCTTCCTATGGGTCTTTGGAGTACCCAATGCCATTGGGAAGGATGCCAAAAAAGTCAGAGTTGTGGCTTTGGGCATTAAGAAACTCCAGGACCTAATTAGGAAAACAAGATGCGTTAATTTTACTAATGATCTGCTTCATCCCAGGGTTTCTCAAACTTTAATGTGCACATGAATCATCTGGGAATCATGTTAAAAACTAGGCTCTGCTTCAAGTAGGTAGAGCCTGACAGTCTACATTTCTAACAAGCTCCCCGGTGCTGCTGATGCTGCTGGTCCACAGATCACACTGTGAATAGTGAGAGTCTAGTACTACATGGTTTAGAAGTCTAAGAAAGACTGGTTCAGGTTGGTTCTGTGGGTGACTGTTGCAGCAGGCTTCAGGTAGGCCAAAAGGCATTCCCAGAGAGACAGGCAGTGAGAAGAGCAACATGCAGACGGAATCCAATGACCTCTGCATCAGCTGGACCTAAAATCAAATTTTGATTTCACTGCTTCCATCTATGTAGGCTCAGACAATAACTGTTCCTCTCTGAGACTCAGTTCTTTAGGAACGAATGGGAATCATAATATGTAGTATTATGTGGCTAATAACAACTACCAATTTCTGAGTACCTTTTACAAACTAAAATCCCAGAGCTGGGATGCAAACATTTAACCTCATACTCTTAATCTCTTTGCTAACAACAAGAGGAAAAAAAAAAAAAGGTTAAGTGACTTGCTCTTTACCTCTGTGGAAGGAGTTGAATGAGAGGTGACTTTCTTCCCCCAAAGCACAAAGTCAGGGGTGAGAGGGACTGTTGTAGGGTGAAGACCGAGAGCAGAGAAGATTGGTTCTATAGCAAGACATGAAAAGTGATTGGCTAAACAAAATGAGAAGATATTTGATTGCCTCAGTAATCATATAAATGTAGAACAAAAATCAATGAAATTATCACTGGCCACCCATTAGTTTTGCAGGAGTTAAAACACAGATAACATCCAGAGTTGGTAAAGGTGTGGGGAAATGGGCATTCTCATATACTGTTTGTGGAAGTATAAATTACAGAGCCTCTGTAGGCGAGTTTCATTCAACGACTAACATTTAGTGAACATATATCTTATGCTAGACACTGCTGGGGGCACCGGATATACAGTAGTAAACACAGTAGATAAAGTCCTTGGTCTCATGGAGCTTATGTTATCAAAATTTGACGTATGCAGAATCTTGACCCAGAATTTTATGCTAGGTGTCTACCCTGGAGAAATACCCAACATATCCTCTAAGGATATCTATGCACTAAAATGTTTGTTGCAGTACTATCTGTAAACACTAACCCATTGGGGAAAATCCCAATCTCCATTAATAGGAAAATGGCTAAATGCATTGTGATACATCCATACACTGGAATGTTATGTGGCAGGTGAGAAAGAATCAAATAGATTTTTTTTAATATGGTCGATTTATAGTATTTTGGGTGTACAGCAAAGTGATTCACCTATCCAGATTCTTTTTCATTATAGGTTATTACAAGATATTGAATATAGTTCTTTGTGCTAAGGTCCTTGATGTTCATCTACTTTATGTAGTGTGTATCTGTTAATTCCGAATTCCCAATTTATCCTTCCCTTTCACTTCTCCCTTTGGTAAGCATAAGTTTGTTTTCTATGTCTGTGAGTCTATTTCTGTTTTGTAAACAAGTTCATTTGTATAATTTTTTAGATTCCACATATAAGTGATATCATATGGTATTTGTCTTTCTCTGTCTGACTTACTTCACTTAGTATGATCATCTTTAGGTCCATCCGAGAATGAAATAGATGTGTATATACTTACACAAACAGGTCTCCAAGTATGTTATTTGATGAGGAGGACATTTTTCAGAAAAATTCATACAACAAATTTTATGTTTGCATATGAACATCCATACAAGTGTAGATGCATAGAAAGAGGTCTGGAAAGACAGAAGCCAAACCATGAAAACAGGGAGAGGAGTCATATTAGTGAAAGGTGATGGAGAAGACCTTTAATACTCAACTTTATATATTTCTTTACTATTTGAATTCTTCAAATGCATCCATAATTATAATACTTTTTAATTTCAGAAGTTTGATTTAGTAAATACTTGACCTTAGATATAATTTTTTTTAAAAAAAGAAGCTATAAACTACAATTCTCTGTGACTATTGATATTTTTTTCCCCAAATAGATTCGATTGAAGTCAATAACACAAAATAGCATCTCAGGCCAAACCAATGGTCAAAGTCATCAGCTGTTGGTCTCCAAGAGAGACCAGAACCCATGGTGATGTCCTTTGTAGCTGGAAGATCAAATAAGAGGGAAGGGCAGGCTTATAGTGCTGAGCCAGGCAGATGCTGGTGACAGTGGCCTCATGCCCGGGTACCTTTAAGAAGGCTATTAACAAACTGGAGTGTGTCCAAAGAAGGAAGGCTGGGAGCGAAGCCTGCCTGTGAGGAACAGCTGAAGAAAGTGCGAATGTTTGCCTTGGAGACAGGGTCATGTAGTGAAAGAAACAATTGTTAACTCCCAAATCTTTGATGAGCTGTATAAGGCAGAACAAAGCAGGACTGCCCCAGGACTTTGAGTTCTTTACAGAAGTGAAATATCACACCATGAAGAGCTCCTGGAAGCCTTACACAGATTGCTTTAACTGATTTGAGTTTTGTTTTTCTCTGAAGTTATAAAAATATTTGCAGTCATAAAGACCTAGTTTTTTTTTTTCTTTTAAAAAAATAGCATAAAGTTCATGTTACATGAATTGAGTATTTAACAAAGGACAAAACATTTCAATAAGCTCCATCCAAAACTTAGTGCTTTGTTTGCTTGATGTTTCCTATGCAGAATGAAATTTTGCTCAGAAAACATGAATGATCTACAACTTCACCCAGCCCAGGAGAAAACCTTTGTGAGATGTGAAACAAACTCTGAAACACTGAAGTAAAAGATCAGATGAGCTTTAATGAAGACCCAGTGTGAAGAATAAATGATTTTATACCTTATCTGGAATGGCTGCTTTGCTTGGAAACCAAAGTTACATAAAGAATCTTGCATAAAGCTTTAATAGGGTTTAGATTTAAAAGGAGCTCATTTCACTGTTATAAACTGAGATTTTCAAAACTTTTATGTAACTATATTCAAATATTAGTGTAACCAGAACTTTCCCAATTTTCTGACTAATTGGTAATATATGCAAATAAGTACAAGTTTAAGAGCCATCTGAGATCCACTGTTCTAATTTAAAATGTCTTTTACAATTAAGTCAAATTTCCCTTATTTCCTTGCTTGTTTGTTCTGATCAGTGTTTTGAAGCATGCTGGAAAGATACTTCTTTACAATATAACTAGCACTTCCATAAAGTGAAATTCCAGTTAATCACAGTTGTGTGTCCCAAAGCACATACCCTTTAAGACCATTCAGCTCACCCAAAGAAAAAAAATTCTACTTAAACTAAGAGTTTCCATCAAACAAATCATACAATTATTTCACTGAACCAAACCAAGAGTAGTAGAATTCTCCTCAAACTACTAACGATAACCATAAAAGCTGGGCAGTTGGTCACTGTAATGATTAAATTACTATTGAAGTACCATTTTCCTCTTTCACTAATGCTTGCCACAAAAGCTAATGGAAAACTTGGACTATCTCAAAGACTTAGATATCAAAATCTCAAACTGCCCAATAAATGAAATAATGATGCTTTGACCAGAAAATTCCACCACAGAGCATGTGAAGGAAATATTCGATCTGGCAATTACTTGGATCTGTGTTTCAAGTAATTCAGAGAGGAGAATCTCACTATGCACGTCAAAGCCTCACCTGACCTTGGCATAGCCTCAGCTCTACACAGCTCATCATTCACATGCTCTTCCCCCAAGCAGGACTCCCGCAGACAAAAGTCCTAAAGAGATGTCTGCCTCTTATGAAATCAACTGCATGATTCACTTTTATTTTTCTTGGAAAGACCCACAGAACTAAAGGATGTGGGGGAGGAAGGACGGCTGGGTCAAGGTTGTATATTGTGTCCTGAATGCTACTCTTGACTGCAAAAGCATCCGACTGTCCTTTTAGCTATTGTGTGTATCTAGAAATATTAGATATTAAAATGAACAATATTTTCCATTATGTCAGAAATACTAAGATTTACAATAAGATAACCTCTGCATTAGATTGGCATGTATTATCGTTGACTATCCAGAGAAAATTTTAAGTATCACTTTTTGGGTCTTTCTTGGTGGTCCAGTGGTTAAGAATTCACCTGCCAATGCCTTCCCTGCTCTGGGAAGATCCCACATTACCTTGGAGCAACTAAGTTCACGCACTACCACTCCTGAGTTTATGCTCTGGAGCCCACAGACTGCAGCCACTAAAGCCCGCACACCCTAAAGCCCATGCTCCACAGTAAGAAGCCACCGGAATCAGAATCCTGGTCATCACGACTAGAGGAAGCCCACTCACAACAATGAAGATCCAACACAGTCAAAAATATAACAATGAAATTTAAAAAATTTTTAAACATCACTTTTTAAATATATTCTTTGCTATATACCCTGCAGAATCTATGCACACTCAAAGGATACTACTATCAGCCTTGAAAACGTCACAACCAAAAACAGTCCACATATTCACCCATGCAGTGCAATGAACTGTGGTACATTCTTACTAATGGTTGTTAAAGAGAAGCCAAAAAGATGACCCAAAGCTACACACGTAACAAGATAGGGCTGAGTCTAGAGTGAGAAAGAGAAGTATCGAGGCAGCAGAATTTAAGGAAGCACTTGTGGGCTTATGCATTTACACAAAGACACAAAATATATATGTAGTATGTTACAAGGAGAGCTAAAGTATACCATTAATGATAGATTAAATAGGTGGTAAAGGACTTAGTGGTTAAGAATCCACCTGCCAATGCAGGAGACATGGGTTCAATCCCGTGTCCAGTAAGATCCTAAATGCCACAGGACAGCTAAGCCCTTGGGCTGAAACTACTGAGCCCACACACCCCAGAGCCTCTGCTCTGCAACAAGGGAAGCCGCTGCCACGAGAAGCCCGAGCACCACAACTAGAGAGAGCAGCCCCACTTGCCGCAACTAGAGAAAGCCCATGCAGAGCAAAAGACCCAGCTCAGCCAAAAATTTAAAAATAAATAATAAGTTTTTCTAATTAAGTTAAAAAATAAAACCAATTTTATGAAAAAAAAAAAAGATAGGTGGTAAAATACTAAGTGAAATCAATAACACCCCTGGCACAAGAGTGAGGTTGCGGTAATCTGGAAAGAGGAAGTGCACATTAGAGTTCCGGGTACCAGCAACATTGCACACGTCACTCCGGATGGTGGTTGCACAGGTGTTCATTTTTATCACCAATCTTTAGTGAATTTTTTCATGCACTATCAGTATGAATGTCACATTTCGCAATACAAAGAAAAAATAAAGGGCAGAGTTAAAACCGTTCTTCTACCCTAGCATACTTTCCAATACTAATTAGTTTCACACAAAATATAATTAGAAATTATTTCAACTTCTGTAGGAATACTTGAAGTGACACAGGACGTCATAACATTTTGGGCAGAGAAATCAATAAGCAACCAACACGACAAATGGCTCACAGGAACACTTGAGACTCCTCTTGGCACGGATTACTTTTCACTTGGGAAGATGTGTTCATCGACATCACATTTTCTGAAGAACATCTTAGGAGGGAAGTCAAATAGGGAAACTGAATAATGCAGCCACATCTGTTCATTGCACATGCAAAATGCTGGCTGGTTTGCTGATTATACTCACCTCTCCTCCAAAGAATCTGTATTTATGAGCCCACTCAGGAAAGATAACACTGGCATCTTGCCTTTCAGGCAAAAGCCTGTTTGTGCTTTACTTGTAAGAAAGCTCAAGGAACGAAATGGGGCGTCAATTACACTGCAGCTGGGCTCTTTGAGGTGCCCGGAGTCAGAGAGAGGGAAACAAGCATTTCATTCAACACTAAAACGAATGTACTGCCCTCCAGAGCAAAGCTGCCCATCCTCGGCATTCACCTTGATAATGTTGCCACAAACACTGAAAGTTTTGGTGGTTGTTACACATCTCTGGGGTGGCAAAGCAAGAAGTCAGACTGCCCAAGGCAAGGCCAGCTCTCCCACAGAGCCTGGATGAGAGGGAGGTCAGATGGATGGGAAATAGATGGACAAGAAGAAGCCTGAAGGGACTTCTCTGGCAGTACAGTGGTTAAGACTAAACCTTCCAATGCAAGGGGTTTGGGTTTGATCCCTGGTTGGGGAGCTAAGATCTCACATGCCTCGCAGCCAAAAATCAAAACATAAAACGGAATCAGTATTGTAACAAATTCAATAAAGACTTTAAAAATGGTCCACATTGAAAAATATATGTTAAAAAAGAGGGAAACTGAAGTCAATCTACAGAGTCACCACCTACCTGCTTAAGTTCTAAGTTCAGTTGCTCAGTCGTGTCTGACTCTTTGTGACCCCATGAATTGCAGCATGCCAGGCCTCCCTATCCATCACCAATTCCCGGAGTCTACCCAAATCTATGTCCATCGAGTCGGTGATGCCATCCAGCCATCTCATCCTCTGTCGTCCCCTTCTCCTCCTGCCCCCAATCTCTCCTAGCATCAGGGTCTTTTTCAGTGAGTCAACTCTTCGCATGAGGTGGCGAAGGTACTGGAGTTTCAGCTTCAACATCAGCCCTTCTAATGAACACCCAGGGCTGATCTCCTTTAGGATGGACTGGTTGGATCTTCTTGCAGTTCAAGGGACTCTCAAGAGTCTTCTCCAACACCACAGTTCAAAAGCATCAATTCTTCGGTGCTCAGCTTTCTTCACCATCCAACTCTAACACCTACCTCCTCACCTTATCTCATACTACAAACTTCTTGAATTCCAATGATCTCTATGTGATGAATGGCCACCAGCAAACCTCATTCCTTCCGTTGGGGCTCCGGATAGGCTGCCCACCAAAATGCCACAATGGCATATTGGTTATTCTGGATTAAAGTTATTTAGGAAATGGCCAGTGCAAGAGGGACATCCTTTTGTACCTCCCTAAAAGCAGGGAATAAATCTCTCCTGTGAAGGTGCCCTTTCTGATCTGAAGGTAGGACAGACACCCTCATCACCAGAGCCAAAGAACTGGGTCTGAGAAGCCTGTATAAACAAACCTCGTCACTTCTTTAATTTACTACCCCAAGACCAAACTCTGCTTATATTCTTTACTAATGGAACACCCAAAACCTAAGTTTCTTCATCCTGTCAATTCCTCACAAATGCATTGTCTCTTTGTCTAATCAGTATAAAAGCTGCCTGCTTTGGCCACGACTTAGGTCCCATTTTATGAGGCTGCCGTGTGCATGAATTCAATGTTTCCTTTTCTCCTGTTAATCTGTCTTGTGTCAACTTTATTATTAGTCCAGCCACAAGGGTTTCCCAGGTAGATAACGGTAAAGAACTTGCCTGCCAAATCAAGAGATATAAGAGATGCAAGTTTGATCCCTGGACTGGGAAGATCCTCTGGAGAAGAAAATGGCAACCCATTCCAGTATTCTTGTCTGGAGAATCCCAAGTACAGAGGAGTCTGGCGGGGTACAGTCCACAGGATGGCACAGAGTCAGACACAACTGAAACGAGAGGAGCAGAGGGGGAAACCTCCCCCTCCCGACACTTCTCATCTCTGCCTTTTCCCATGCCTCCTTCCTCTTCTTTCCTCCAGGATGTCCTCCTCCCTGCCTAACTGGACCTTAGTTATCCACCAAGGCACAGCCACTTCACCAGTTACTTCCTAGCTCAGCCCAGCTGACAGGGATCTCTGTCCTCTGAATGCTCAGCTGTTATGTGAGTGATGTTCTCCCTGGGGCCTTAGGAACTGGTGCCCTGCTGGCTTTCCCACCACCTCTCCGTCTCCTCTTTGCTCCTTGCCTTCTATTCAGCCTGGC